TATTGTACAGGTAAGATCTTCAGTGTCACATTCCAACCCAAATTCCAGTCTATCCCAGGCACCGGAAGCCATATACTGCAGGCTGGTGGGAGAGCTCCGAGAAGCAAAAAAAAAAAAAAAAAAAAAAAAAGCTCTGTTGGGCCTACAGGTACTAGAACTTAATGTCAGTAAATTTTCCGTAAAACTACGAACCTGCAATTTATCTTAAACAGTAAAAAAAAAAAAAAAATAGTTGGTACCTGGCAAAGTTAGGCCACAGGTTTCACTGGCCACGAAGTTGGATTTGAGCTCCAGGCCTATGCTTCCTTCTACCCAGGCCGCTCCTTATCTAGCAGCTGAAGGCACTGCCATTTGCGACCCCTGCTGGAAAGTTACCAAAAAGCAGGTAGCATGCTGGAGAAAAAAATTAGAAAAAAAAAAAAAAACCCCAAAACGTCCTTTGGGATCTATTTCTGTTATGTTTAAGGCATTCCTTGGAAGAATAATGTATTCATTTTTCCTAGTCCTCTCCTGGTAGCACATAACTATTGACAAACTATGGCCCAGTAAATATTATTCTAACGGCCTGCGAAAGCTAAGGACTTAATTCCCCGTGGGTGGAGGGAGCTGAGAAGGCTTCAAGCCAGAGGCAGTCCTGAAGATGGATCGTGGAGGCTGCGTGCATCAGCCGCTTACAATGCGGCTTGACTCAGACACAAAAAGGAATTTGCTTGAAGACTATGTGTTGCCTCTAGGAACTAATGAGATGCTGAAAATTCCGGGATTGGAAAATGAGAAGGAATGAAGGGAACCAGACTCCAGGGATCATGTCAAGATGGTGCCCCAGGAATGGTTCCGTTGGGAGCACATCTTGAGATGTGGATGTTGCTGCTGCTGACGCCAGCCACTCGATCCATGACCCAAGTGGGTGATAAACACTCAGCAGTTCCTGTGTCCTTAAACTGCTCCCTCCAGACTCCAATCCCCTGGTGGGATCATTTAACTGAACGTGCATTCAGGGTTGCAAGGTGCAAACTAGGGAAAGAAACCCCACCTTCCACTAGGAGCATCTCTTTGAAGCAAGACGTGTTTAGAGAATATGATATCTGGTTGCTGGGTACCTTCCAGTCATGTAGCAGGACTTGGAGTGGTGATAGAGGGAGAGGCCCCCAAAGCAGTACTCAAGATTGTAATGAGAACACATAGATCTGCACTCCAATCTGGAATCCTCTGTACCTTTAGAGAACTGACAACATTTCCTAATCTGCAGATTCTCAATTGTTAAAATAGAAGTGATGCCATCTGCTCTCCCAAATAGCTGCGCAGATTCCGCTCAATCATTCATTCACTTTCACAAACACATTTAGGGACTGCCTATTAAGTGCTTGATATGGAACTAGGCTCTGGGGACATATTTTGGGAAGAAAGAAAAGAGAAGAAAAAAGAAAAGCAAGCACTCTGTGCAGATGACCAAGTTAGACAAGGGAGCCCCACAAAATTGGTCGGGCTTTGCTCTACCCGAACTGAGTCGTTGCTCTTTAACTTTTCTGGTTTGGATTAAATGATTTTAAGTTACTCCCTCTAAATATATCTCCTAAGGATTCATATACATACTGAACTTAAAAGCAACACTTCAGTAAAAGGGCAAGGGATGCAGGTCAGTTAGTACAGTACTTGCACAGCACACTGGTTTGAATTACAACACCACCATAATTGGGTGCTATACTTCATTCATATCAATAACCCCCGTACTTGGAGTTGGGTACTGGAGGACCAGATGATGTCCAAGGTCATCTTTAGCTACACAGCAAATTTGAGGTCAGCCTAGGATATGACTTTCACGAAAAAAAGGAAAAAAATATCTCTAAAACTGAACATTGATCCTGAAAATTAAAATTATAATTCTTAGTAACAGTGGCACTCAGTGCTGATGTAATTCGTGTAGAGCACACATAAGCCAACACTTATTTAAATCTGCCCTCGTTTAATGATTTGTGAGTGTGATGAGCTCAGGTATACCCCAATCACAATTAACATGAACATTAACTAGACACGAAATAAAAATGCCAGCATTGTAAATTAGATAAACAAAATTTCACAAGTGTTATAGTCGGTGAAGTGTCTTTTATGTGTATTTTATTACTTCCTCTTCATCATTTTCCAGTCACTAATCTGCAGGAAGGGCTTTGAGGCTTAGAGAGAGAACACAGTAGGCCTAAGGTCATGGGGCCAGAAGTGGGCCTTACCCCAGCCTGCTTTCTCTTTCCAGAAAGGCAGTCTAGACAGAAAGCAGAAGGCCTTATGCCCAGGTTAGGGACTACAGCACACAGTGTTGCTCTTTTCTAGCCACAGCTGCCAAGTCCCCACCCTCTGCCATACCTAGGGAGACAGAACACTTGTCCCAGAGCAGCTGGGACAGTGCCACACTCGCCAGCTGGGACCCTGGAGCTGCTGTCTAGGTTCTTGTGACACACACAGGTTAAAACCCATCCAAGTAGCCACATGTTTGACTGTCCCTGCCTCTAAATCTAATGACTTGGGGGAGAACCTGTCTCAGTCCTGCTGATTGCTGTGTGCCACCAAGGCCGTGTGCTTAGTCTCAGAAAGGCCTAGCGCGAAGTTAAGCAGCACCGACCCATTCTCGGGTGCTTTCCAATCGCTCCTGAATTTTAACTTAAGACAGGAAAAGTTCCCAGGACGCTTTTTCCTTCAGAGAGTCCCTGGGATTTTTCAAGGCAGAGAATTTCTTATAAGGATGAAAACACAAGTCTCAGCTATATAAAGGAGTTTGAGAAAGGCAAAGCTCATTGTGTTTAACAAGGTGTAGGAAGACGATAATCTGCTGCAGGGATAAAGCCTCTGCTCCCACGCCAGCAGCAAGGGCCTTCAATGGGTTCAAAATCCCCTTTGCAAGACCAAGGCATCACTTTCTCACCAGCTTCCCTGCTCAAAACTTCTCATCTTAAAGATGTGCTGCATTGCAATGCGCAGCAGCTTGGCATAGGATGTGAAGCCCAGAAGCAGAGCCCAGCCCTGCTCACTAAGACATCTCTGGCTGCTGGCTAATTAACTGCAGAGACTTAAGAGTGCTTAGTCAGGAAGCTGTCTATCCCTGTCGAACAAGAGTTAGATGGGTAACTGACACCAAGGAAGCTCTTTGAAAAGTTCCCCTCATACCTGGCTGTGGAGGAGGGTGGTGCTGGGCGGAGGGTTACCTTACATAACACAGTGGTCCATTTCAACGTTATTTTTCCAGTTCTGTGAGTGGAAAAATCTAAGCACGCTGGAAATAAAGAACAGCACAGCGATTTGGAGCTTAAGCACTCATCTGGAATTTTGGAAGGCCCGGCTAATTCGACCTGTACTCACTTTGGCTGGGGAAGTAGAAGGCAAGACTAATTCCCAGCGTCAAAAGGAATTCATGCTTTAAAAATGCAGGGCTTGGTGGTGTGGAAGTTGAGCTATCTCTATCTTCTTTTATTAAAAAGTAAAGTTAAATATAGAATACCTGCAATTAACTCCTGGGTGGAAGCCAGTAATTGAATTTCAACAAATACAATGAGATTTGAGAGCAAAACTGAGACCACAGGATTTTGTTCTCACTACAGCCCCTGATCAAATAGCCAAAGCTGGGGCACATGGGGACCGGGGTGGAGACCTGCTCCCCAGGGGTGGGAGTGGGGTTCTAGGGGCTGGGTCAGCCTCGGGTGTCCGTGGAGCTTTCCTGAGAAAGGTGAGCTCAGACTGAAGCAGCCACACACTCTCCTTCTCCCTGGTCAACTCTCTCCTCTCCTCACCCCAGTTCCTGGCTAGCAAGAGACTGCTTCTGGGAGAGCAGCTTCCAGAAGGTGGATCCAGAGTTGTCTCCTTGGGATCCCCCTCAGAGCATCTTAGCATAGTTATGGATAAAAATAGCCCAGGATAACATAACGCGGAGGGAAGAGGAGGAGTAAGTCTCGCGCAAGGCAAGGCAAGGCGAGGATACCAGGGCTTCTGCATAGTGGGGGTTAGAGAGAAAGGGTGCTACTCCTTTTCCGGAGGAGAGCCCTGCGTGTGCAAACAAGATCGGGTGGCCCCTTAGCTTAGGTTGTGCCATACTTGATTTGAAGCACCCACAAATAATTGCTGAGTCTGGCACAACCCACCAATCCCTGGCCTGCATCTGGCTTCGGCGGTGGTTCTGAGAGCTGGTCGTCCAGTTCCAGGAAAGGCAGGTTCCAGAAGCGGAAGCAGCGAAGTCCACTGCTGCAAATGCAGGGTGTTGGGGGGGGGGGGCGCACCTGAAGAGGTCGGGTTATGAGTAAGCCCTGCTAATTCTAAATACAAGCTCCCCTGGTTTGTGTCCCGACATCCGTTAACATGCATGCCCCAATCCACCTCTTCTATCGGAGGTACCCGGAATAGAAACCAGGTGGGAAAAGAGTAAAAAGTAATATGAAAATTCAAGAGCCGTTTAACTGGCTTTCTTAATACTTACGGTCCTGCCTGCCGCCTGCCTCTTGGAGTACCCTGGAAGGTGCTCTGTCTCCCCATTACAGCTAACGAACGCAAAGGCACAGCAGACCAAGGCTTTCGCATCCCAGATGCCCCATCCCGGAGTGACTGGAGTCAGCTGTCCCCACTGCCCAGTTCTCCGCCCCAAGTGGTACCCTGGCTCGCCAAGCGCAGCACTCCAGCTGCACTTGCACAGGGTCCTAGAGAGAATCCACGGCGCCAAGCAGCGCGCAGCGACGACCCTCCTGTGTCAGGTAGGGACACAGTGAAGTCTTTTAAGAGTCAGAAACTCCGGTCCCTTATAATCCATCTCGTGAATTCTAGAGATGAGGTTCTAGGACAGGAGTCAGGAGGATTGGAAAACCCCGAGTCTTCCTTCCGTGTACTCTCCACTCTGTTTGAGCCTCTGCTCGCTCACCTTAGGCTTTGGACTTGCCCTAAGTCGGGACACCAGAAGAAGGTGCCTAGGCAACCCTCACCAGCCACTCCCCAGTCTGACACCTTTACCCCTGGAGCGCAGCGCTCACCTGAGTCGGGTACCCGTCCAGCCGGTCAGGCGCCCTCAATCGTCTCTCCGGTCGGGCCATGAGCAGCACCGCCTCCGAACACCTGAGCTCCTCGGAGCAAATCCCCAGTCACCTCGGGGCAGGCGAGCGGGGAAGGGACACAGTCACTCACCGAGCGAGACCCGGCGGTGGCGGCAGCTCGTGGCTGCAGCGCGCAGAGGACCTTGCAGACCGGCGTTTTGGTGCCGGATCCGAGAATGGGAGGAGCAGGAGGAGGAGCAGAAACCGGAGGAGGGGACAGTGGAGGCCGACTCTCCGGGAGAAGGCAGAGGGCAGAAGAGGATCGCGAGCGCCCACTGCTGCCGCGCCGGCTCCGGTGCTGCCCCGAGTATCGCCTCCCAGTGCGTCCCTGAGAGCCAACTTCCAGCGACCTAGCTTAACACCCGGTTTCTGACCTTCTGGGTCCCGAAGGAGTAGTCTCCGCTGCTCACCCAGTTAGGAGACACCTCCTAATTTCAGTCTAAAGGGAGAGACCAGCACAACCTAGTGGGTGGGGCGTGTGGCTTGGGTGACTTCATCAACCTTACAATCCCTGGACTCCCAGTGCGCTCTCTGTCCCCCGCTAGGTCTCAACGGGGGCTATACGTTCGTGTTAACCTTTCGCAAACTGCGCGTGGTCCCCAAGACTCTTGCAGTACCTACGTGTGTTTGCATGAGCGTTTCCTACCGGCAGGTGACCCGCCTTAGGCTCCTGTGCTCGGTACGCAGTCCCGGAGGCCTCCGGAGCCCTTTGCCCCATCTTGCGCTGCAGTGGGGACAAGGTCCACTTGAAGATCTAGCTTCAGAGGGTACAGTGTCGCCATCAAATACCCTCTCTCTCCTTCGGTTTCTCCACAAAGAGAATTGGAACTTAACTAGGCTAGCGCGGAGGATTCAGCTCTCCTTTAGCAAAAGTAACTAGGTTAGCAAATTTCACCTCTGAAACTAATCAAGGACTTCCTGCGTTCCGAAGCTGCGAGGTTTTTGTGTGAAAGCCAACCTGCATATTGTGACTCAACTTAAGAACTGGAGGGCAGGGGAGCTGGAATCTCCTTGGAGACATGGAGCTGCTTCAGCATAAGCAAGGCACCTTACAAAGCAAGTTACCAAAAGAAAAGAGGGGCGGGGGAGAGTGGGGATGAAAGGAAGGAGAAAGACGGAGCCAAATACAATCAAAACAACTTCCTTTAGCTTTTAATATCTTCCATATCTTAAAAATTAGAATATAAATATTTATCATTTGCATTTCTAGAATCAATATTCTCTCATCCAAGGGGGAAAATTCCTTTGGGGAATTGACCACTTAACTTGTGCAAAGGCCCTTTTAGAAGGCAAATGAATGCCCAGTACAGCATATTGTGTAGGATAAAGCCAGAAGCATCTTGGAGACCTAGACCGCTTAATCTTTGAGTAAATGTAAAGTTGGCATGCCCATTTCAGGTAGAAAAAAAATGCATTTACAAAAGTCACTTTAAATCTGTATCTTGAAAAACCTTAGCATGCAAAATTTACATTAGATTTAGAGACAGCCTTTTCCCCCATTTTACAAACTTGTAGGAAAATCCTTTAAATGGCTGAATTATGGTCTACTTAAGCTTCTACCAGACACCAAGTATAGTGAAGATCAGGAATCCTTCAACATAGGGAAGGGTGTTGATGCCCTAAGTTGGCTAAGGTTATTTTTCCTCTGAGTCCAATGGGTTTCAGTGCTTGGCACAGGGTTTTGAATTTCTCAAGTCATCCGTGAGACACAGACAATTCTTCTGTTCACACCCTGGAAATCAGAGGACAATCAACCAGCTTTCTTAATTACCTATCATAAAACCTCAAAAGAACCTAAAATCCCAGCCCTGGGCTCAAAGTCTCTATTAGTCACCTGTGGTGATATTTTGTTTGTATTATAACTGATAAAGCTTGCCTGAGGATCAGAGTGTAGAGCAAGCCACTAGTTAACCATAGAGACCAGGCAGTGGTAGCACACATCTTTAATCCCTGCATTCAGAAGGGAGAGGCAGGTAGGTCTCTGTGAGTTCAAGGCTACCCAGGGCTACACTAGATTGATCCAGTTTCAAAGAGAAAGACAGCCAGGTAGTGGTGGCTCACACCTTTAATCCCAGTATTTGGGAGTCACATGCCTTTAATCCCAACATTAGGAAAGTGGAGAAAGGAAGAGATATGGCTGGGTGGAGAGAGGAATACAAGTGGGAGGAGCTCAAGTCGTTCAGTCTGAAGACTTGTAGAGATAGGACCCTTTCCTGTCTGAGGATTTTGTAGAGGTAAGAACTCCAGTGGCCAGATGCTCTGCTTCTCAGAGCTTTCACTTTCACGCCCTAATACCTGACTCCAGGTTTTCATTCTTAAGATCAATTAGAATTCACACTAATTTGGCATCCAACTTTAGGGAAGGAATCCATGAAAAAGTTGCTTGCCTCTGACTTTGCAACCACCGGCACAGTCCAGAGCTACACTTGACTTTCTTGGTCTGCTGCCAAGCTAGGTAGCTGCCTTGAAACCCTCTTGGGCTTCTACTGTTCTACTCAACAGCAGTCAGCTTCACACTTCACCATCATCTGAATCATCATTGTTGACAGATTTGCTGAGACAATTGTAAACGCTTAAAGGGAGAAATTAGTTAAAAGAAAGAGTTTTTTTTTCTTTCCCATGTTAAAAAATGGGAAACACTAATACAAAGGAAAGAGTTAGGTCTTTGTATGGTGAATGGTTTAAAATTTGAACAATCAAATGAAGGGATAATCAATTTAACTGGGATTGACAATGCTAATTATCATTTTGATAATTTTTATTGTTTGATAAGTGTTGGTTTATCCTTCTAAAAGTTAGTTGATAAGACTGTCAAAATACAGGCCATAGAAAAACTTATTAAAACAGATCATAGAAATATTCAGATCCAGACAAATGAATTTAAAGAAAAACCGATTTCAATGTTTTATTATAAGGTTAGAGAGGAACTAAGGTTTACAAACAGCCAACCTTAATATATCCAGTCACCTTACAAGAACTATCAAATGACGGATATCCCCAAGGCTGTTTAAGTGCTCACTGGAATCCAGTGGAAATGTTAGATTTAAGGAGATTCAAGGAAGCAGTAATTTCATATGGCATGTGCTCACCTTTTGTGAAGCAGATGTGAAACTCATGGTCAATTTGTAACAGAACTGTTCCTCAGTACTGGAGAGACATAGTTACAGAAGTCTTGGAGCCTGGTCCTCAATTACAGTGGAGGACCTGGTAGAAAGATGAGGCTAAGACCACTGAATAACAAAGTAGGGCTAGGTATGGAAATCTCCCAAGACCAACTTCCTAGAGAGGGAGATTGTACTAATGAACAAAGGCAAGCTCTATATGATGATCACACCTTGGTTTTATGCCATGCAGCAGCTTTGAAAGCTTGAGACAGAATTGTAGAAGTAGGAAAAAAAATGAGTCATTTACTGTGGTTATATAGGACCCGAAGGAAATCTTCACTTATTTCTTACAAAGATTGACTTAAGCAGTAAATAAAATGATACCAAATTCAGAATAATAGACAAATAATAATTCAGTTTCTGGCTTTTGCAAATGATATTTCACAATGTAAAAGGATAATTAGGCCATTAGAGGCAAGATCAGCCTCCTTGGAAGAATGGATCTGAGACATAACCAATATTGAATCTCATGACCATGATGATGCTTGAATAGCAGAGGTGATTTCCAGGCATTTGAAGAAAAATTAAAAATGTAAAATGTTTCAATTGCAGTAAACAAGACCACATAAAAAGAGAGTTTAAACAGGTTATTCCTAGAAACAATGTTTTTCTAAGCATAATCCAAACAGAAAGCCCCTCCTCTCTGAATTGTGCAGAAGGTATGGCAAGGGCAGGCATTGGACTCACAGAGATCTGTCTGCCTCTATTTCTCAAGTGCTGGGATCAAATGTGCTGTGCATGCCACCATTGCCTGACATCTATAGCTAACTAGTAGCTCCTTCTGCACTCTGACCCTCAGAGAAGCTTTATTTGTTATAGCACTAACAAAGTATCGCCACAGTCACCTTCCTTTGCAGAAATGACCTCAGGCATGTCCAGCAAGTGATAAGAATTGGAACATAGGTTTTAACAGTTGTCCCCCCACCTCAATTTCCTCAGACACTTATTGATCAATAATCAGTGTTCTTATATTTAGGCAAATAAAAATACCAGTGGACTTTTTTGCTGTTCTTTGGTTGCATGGATATAGACATTGAGCCCTCTCCTCAATGTCCCCGGGTCTGGCTTCTGCTCACTCATTCAGATCTCAACTCTGCTCCATCACTTGTAATACTGTTCCTCACAGAACTGCTTTTTCATCTGGCTTTTCCAGTATATTAGAAGAGTATTGGGCATGAGTAACCATGATATAATTATCTCCTCATACCAGCCTTTTGTAGGTTGCCTGACACATAACCTAAGGGATAATACAAAAAGCAAGACTTAACAAACATTACCCCAAGTAGCTTTTAAAAATCCACAACAAACACACAAATAAAACAATAAAAACAGTCTTTTGGGACTGGAAAGATGGCTTACTAGTTAAGAGTCAGCATTGCTCCAGCAGAAGATCAATGTTCTGTTCCTAGGATAGAGGGTTCACATCATCTGTACCTTCAGCTCCAGTGCATTCAGTACCCTCTTCTAGCCTAACAACAGGCCCTGCTCTCACATACAAGTGTGCACACACAGACATGCACATACACAAACACACACCTATAGTTAAAAATGAGAATAATTTTTTAAGGTTACATATTTGATATTTTAAGGATCATTTGCTTTTGTTCAGACAAATTTCCATATCAGTACATTGGGTGTGAGAATTGATGCTCATAAGAGACATGCTAATAATCAACCAGAAAACCAGCTGTCACTCACAGTTCTATCACCCAAGACAGTCCCACCAAGTAGAAAACAAGAGTGTGTTGTAGATAACTTCTACACCACTAGTAATAAGCTACTATAACAGTTTCTGGACACTTGATATGAGAGAGAAACAGAACATTAAAATGTCACTGCCTCAAGGAACAGTAAGGCTTTTATGCATAAGCCACCTTTGCAGAGACTCCTTCATCTTGGCTAAACTGTAAACTCTGACCACACATCAAAGCTAAAGCCATGAGAAGGAAATAAATGCTGGTGACCTATAACTTTGGTCAATAATCCGCAATAATAACATTTAAGATGGA